ATATATGCCTGAGGAATTCCTGATACCCTCAATGAACGAGAGCAGCTAACATGAATCCTGGGAAAGAGATCTGGACCCCAAGGCACACAGTGAATGCTCCTCTGTGTTTTCGTCCAACAGAACTTTCTCCAGTGATCAAAATGTTTTGTATCTGTGCTGTCCAGCAGAATCACATGTGGCACTGAGCACTTGACATGTGGCTGGTTTGACTAGGGACTGAATTTTTAATTTTATTTAAATCAAATCTTGAGAGTTCCCTGATGGCCTAGTGGTTAGGATTCCAGGCTTTCACTGCTGTGGCCCAGGTTCAATCCCTGGTCGGGGAACTGAGATCCCACAAGCCATGTGGCACAGCTAAAAAAGCAATAATAAAAAATTAAATCTAAATAAACACATGTGGTTAGTGACTCCCATGTTGGCTATGCAGCTCTAGATGGCAAGAAAGGCTGAAAACTACATTATCTACATTAGCTCATAAATTCCTTGCAATGGTTTAAAAGAATCTGCACTTCAAAAAGCTTGCACTTACACATTCCAAATCACAAGGGTGGGAAAAACTTAGAAAAGGTCTTTTCCATGGAATCAAAGAAAGACCACATTACAGTGGAGCACATCAGTCCTTGGGATTTATTCTGTCAGCTCCATTCTAGTGGAAATAAAACTGAGTAACAATACTGAAGCAGAAACAATATAACTTGGGCATATAATATAAATGCTATTAACCTTAAATTCAGCTTTATTCTTTGCACTTATGCTAGAAAAGAAAACACAAACTCTCCTTACCCTTTTCCTGTTAGGTTTAAAAATTCATTTACATAATACTGAGGCACCTAGTACAAAGATGGACATCTTGTAGGAAAGATCAGTATGTAAAAAATACATCCATCCATCCCAACCATTCGCCTATCCCTCCACTCATCTGCCCATCCATCTGTCTTTCCATCCATCCATCCATCTACCCATCTACCCACTGTATCCCTTTGTGATTTCCTGATTCACAAAGAATAGATTTTCTCTCATTTGCCCAAATAACAAGAGCTTAATAGAGAGGAATAGAGAAGAAATAGGTGATGGAGTGACATGTTTTTAAGAGTATGCTTTCAGATGATTAATCATACTTAACACTCTTAATAGTATGTTGTTTACAAAGTCAAAGTAATGAATATTTGAGAGACTAAAAAATGACAAATGACTAATGCTTCAAAACAGTAAGATGAAAGGCATCATGAGATAATTCATGTCTCAGATAATAAGCCTCATGTTTAGAAGAGGGTCAAAAATCTGGGCTAGAACAGTCCAACTTAGGGCTTTAAGATGCAGGCTTGAGCCAGAATCTGAGTGATGGGCAAGATGACAGATAAAAATCATGATTAAAATTTGGAAGGACCTTAGAAATAATCTAGCTCAAGCCTATTATACTAGAGATGATCCAACTAAGGTCAGAGAGTTAAGGGACTTGGTCCAATTCCTTTATATGGGTAGTAATGGTAGGAAACGAAAATGTAGGGCTCTTGATGCCTATTCCACTTTCATGCATCACATGAGATGGGGAGAAGGGTCTTCTAATTAGGAAAGGAGAAAGCATTCTGGAGAATGGGAGTGATACAGCATGAGCAAGGAAGCAGAGCCAGGAACCTGTCAGTGTAATGACCATGTATGAGGATGTCAACGTATGTGAGGAGGGGAAGACAGCATGGTGGGGGAGCAGGACCAGTAGGGAAGGGGCTTGAATGTAAATCTGCAGTTGGTCAATGGTGTGAAACGCAGAATCCTGGGACTGCCTTGAAGTCTCCCTTTCATGTCCCAGTATAAACGTTTCCAGAAAAAATGCTTTGCTTTTCATATAAACAAAGACAAATTCACCTGGGGAGGGAAAGCTGAAGAAGGGAGGCTGGGATGAGTACTTGCATATCTGGTCAACCCAAAGTGGGCTGATAAGCATCCATGCTGAGTCAGGAGATTTATGATGGGAACTAAGAATCTGCATATTTTTAAGCTCCCAGTGACTGCAGCGATTACCCAGTTTGGAGGGTCTTCTGGTTCACCCTTTTACCAATCCATCAGATACAGACTACCACTTTGGAAAACTCTTTGACAATATTTATGAAATACCTGCCCCCTATGATCCAGCAATTCCTCTCTCAGGCATATACTTACTTATGTTGCCCAACAGGCATGAATAAGAATACTCAGACCAGGTTATTATCAACCCCAAACTGGAAACAATCCAATATCCATCAGTATTAAAATGAATAAATTAACTGAGCTATATTCATACAATGGAACACAACAATTGAAAAGAATAAACCATTGCTATCTGCACCAACGTGGATGACTATTCCTGACATAATGATAAGCATTAAGAAGTATGATTCTATTTACATAAGATTAAAGAACTGGCAAAAATAATACATGGTAATTGAACTCAGAATAATGATTGCCTGTCTTCGAGGGTGAGGATTAACTGTAAAGGGACATAAAAGAAACTCCTAGGGTGCTAGAATTGTTCTATATCTCTATATGGGTGGTGGTTATATTGTTATATAGAATATATGAAAAATATTGAGCTCTATACTTGTTCAGTTTACTGTATAGATTAACTTTGTTGACAAGAAAAAATATAGATATTGTGTGTGTATGTATATTTCCTTGCCAACCTTAAGAGGTTGTTATAAAATTCCAATAGCTTTTCTTTTTTATTTTTTTATTGGAGTATAATTGCTTTACAATGCTATATTAGTTTCTGCTGTACAATGAAGTGAATCAGCTATATGTATACATATATTCCCTCTTTGTTGGACCTCCCTCCTTCCCCACCCTTCCAGGTTATCACAGAGTACTGAGCTGAGCTTCCTCTCTGCTTTATAGCAGGTTCCCACTACCTATCTGTTATACACATGGTAGTGCATATATGTCACTCCTATTTTCCCAATTTATCCCACGGTCCCCTTTCCCACCCTGTGTCCACATGTCCATTCTATGTCTCTGTCTCTATTCCTGCCCTGGAGATAGGTTCATCTGTACCATTTTTCTAGATTCCATATATATATGTTAAAGATGAGATACATAGATAAGTACAGTCATACATTTTAAGTAGCTCAGTACTGATTCTTGTTGAAGTTGGTCACAAGCACTACTTGTGATATAGGTAATCTGTCAGTTTTTTTAAACCTTAGCAAAACACAAAAAGTTAGTTATATGTAAGCTTACAAGTAATTTCTGAATTTGGAAAAGACATGCAGTAACTGTAAACTTAATGGTGCAGCCCAGCTTTTGAGAGAGCCTTTCTGCTGATGGTGAATTTGGTCTGCTTTGAAACCCTGGAGAAGAGTTCCCTGCAGCTGTATCTTTTGTTGCACACCCTCACTTTTCTCTCCCCCCGTTCCCGATTCCACCCTAGGAAGACAGGAAACACTATCTGTAGCACTGCATTCACCAACCCAGAAACCAAAATCTCATCTCACTTCCCATCATGAAAATGATCGTCATCCTGAGGTACCATTGGCCACTGGTAACAAGCCACTGACCTGATGCCACTCCACAGTTTGCCTTCCCTGGCCCAACAGTGAGACTGCCTGTGGTCATGAGGCCCTGGTGGGCACATGTTCAGGGTTACAGCAAGCTGAGGATGAGTGGTGGGAAGTGAAAAACCTTGTCCAGTGGGTGCCATGTGTAAACCTCATTCCTGGGCTATTGTTTTGCAGTCTGTGAAAAAGTTGTGTGTCCTGAGCAGTGTACTTCAGGCAGCTAAGTATAAACACATGTCTACAAATACTGATAACGCTATCTTTATTTGTCCATTACTTCACAAAGCCAGATCACCTGGGGACTGTTTGTTCCTCTACAAAGTGAGAATCTAGCACCATATGTATTAAAATGTGGGACATTTTCTTCAGGGTCTACATTTTCAAGAGCTGCTTCTATGCCTTTCTCAGTACACTCTTACATCCCTATGTATCTTTAACACCACAACATACAGTAGACTTTAAAATAAAAATTGATTATTTCTGGTTCCTTGCACCAGTTTTTCTTATTTTGACCATATGGTCAACTATGTGTCTCAAGCCTACCCATTACTGTGTCCAAGTTCTAGAGCCCAGAAGTATATAAGATGTGCTCAGCAATTTATGTGAACCTGCAGATATTTCCTGACTGGTTATTTCAAGCAAGGGTTTTTTATGTGACAGACATCTGATAAATGCTTAAAGAATGAATATGAATGCTTAAGAATGGATAAATGTGAATTTTTAAGCACTATGTTCACACAAGAAATACAGTTCACAAGTATGTATATTTCCCAGAATAAAACATTGTACTGGATTTCCTACCCACTCCCCCGCCAAAAAAAAGCTCTAAAGGTATTACATATGGAAGTATGTCAATAAATATACTAAAATCTGAAATCAACTTTGAATGGAGCTTTCTCATGAAAAAAAAAAAATCCTAATAATGCTTGATTTCACTTAAGAGATATTTAGAAAAACCAGCACACAAACTGTTCAGTTCCAGAGAACCAAATACAACATCAGCTGTGAGAAACATTAAACTGTCTGAAGAGAATGGATTTCAAGGAAATGCTGCTTATTTTCTCCTCTTGGTTATTTCTGAAAGAACATTTAATGAGGAAATGCAGTGGGACTTTTCTGTTCTTTGAAGACTTTGCTTCCAAGAAACATTTGCCTTGGGTTTAAACTCTATTAGGTGTGATTTTTTTTTTTCTTCTCACCAGTCTATTAATTTTGCAGGGAACAAGAAGTGAGGAAGAGGCAAGGCTAAATCAATTGTCTCCAGAAAATGCACCTCAATCTTATTCTCAGAGACTTTTTTCCCCCGTTTCCCCCACCATGCACTGACTTTTCTTTCTTAAACTAATAATATCAAACTCAAGAAGTAAGCCCTAGCATAGAAACATGCCGGGAAGGGAACTGGAGTTTGAGAAGAACTTCCCTGTGCACAAACAGCCCCATCTCTCCCAATGTGGTAGCTCATCTACTGAGGCATCTACCGCCCTCGGAGAGAATGTCACTGTCCTCCAGGACTTACCTGTCTGCCGAGAGAGCCGTGAGTGTGAAGACAGACACCCCTACCGAGGTAAGCTGGATAAAGGGGATCAGTTTGCAGCCAATCCTGCCAAACAGCCATTTGTCAGCCAGGTACCTGCTGGCATCCACGGGCGCACAGGTTACCAGGAGGAGCAGGTCTCCCAAAGCCAGGCTGGAGATAAACAGGTTCGGCACGTTTCGCATGGACTTCACAGTACAGAAGATCTTGATCAGGGTGATGTTGCCAACGAGGCCTATCAGAATGATGACTCCATAAACTGCAGGGATGACATAGAGGATCCCTGGGTGGAACCAGTCGTCATTCATGGGGAGCTCCACACTATGATTAGAAATGTTGCAGTGCACGAAACGGTCCACTTCCAAGTTCAGAAGCAAACAGTCATTCAGAGCCATCCTCTGGATTCCTTCCCACCTAAAAAAGTGCCGTGAGATGCTGTTTCTTAACTTTTGACTTTGCAATTGGGTAAAGATGAGGACAGAATCTATGCTGGGCTCTTTATCTTCTTGAATAAAAATATAGATACTGTGGCATTCAAAACTGTCTGGCACTATTTTGATGCTGGTGCTGCTCTGCTCTTTACATGACCAGTATACTACATCTCTAAATTGAGTAAGTTAACAACAAAACAAACACAAAAACTCAGCCCCCAAAAGGCTTAGAATCAGACCCACTCTGTACCAACACCTTTTACCTCCAGTCTAGTCCGAGTCTCCCTGCTGCAGTTTACTAAGAACTTTGGGCCTGCTATTTTCACACGGCATTTGCTGTCTTTCCTGATATTTAGAACCTGAAGGTTTAAAGTGGGTAGAAAAAAACTGCACTGAAAAAGCCTCAAATGCTATAGGCGGGAATGCTTTATACGTCACCAACTTCACCAGCAAACGGCAGCTCTGCTGAGCAGAGGCTCTGAAGAGGAACCAGGGCTACTTACAGACAGACAATGCCAGCCCCCTGCTGGACACTTCCATCACTGCCCAGCTGCCTGCTCTGCCCAGATGAGACTTGCACAGCAGTCTGCGGATCCTAGTCGACAACTTTAGCAGGTAAATTTGGGCTTCTCTTTTCAGACACAGCACCTCTGGTAGGTATTTCCTAAGTGTTGCCGGCACTCTGCAAAGCACTGGAAATCCTGATATTAGAAAGATTTTCCATATCCAGATTCACAGCCCATTCTCTCATCTTTTCCAATACATTAGAGTATAACATGTTAAGCTTGCTATAAAATGAGGTCTGTCCCTGAATCAAACTGCACACAGATGCGCAGGGAGTCCACATGGGAGTGGTCCTATGCAGCCTTCCTGCTGCCTATTTGAAAGGGGATCGTTTCTGAGGGCAAACGCACAGGACTCCTGCCTTAAACCTTCAGCACCTGACATCTGGGAAAAGTAGAAAGCAGGACACACACATGCTCTGTCCTGTAGATTGGCCAGGACATTCCTGTTCCCTTTACCAGAGAGAAAAAAAAATCAAAAGCCAGCTGTTTTTTTAACTCTCACAGATAAGTCTTTTCCAGAAGAATGGGTATTTTCTCATTGGATCTAAAAAATACATGAATTGGCATTCTGATGCAGCTATTTGCAATTTTTAATTAATGTTTGCTGCATTTTATAGCAAATTTCCTCATAAGCTCTGAGTGGGAAATGAACTGTGAAAGAGTTACAGATAACATACTGAGGATTGGAGGAGTGGAAAGAATAACTTAGAGTTAACATGTGCCAGGAAAGACTTTATTGAGGAGGTACTATTAGATGTCAACTTTGATCTTTAGCAACAGTGTATAAATATATTACAAGGGTGAATCTTTAAGACTTACGTGCAGCCAGCCTTTCCAGATACATCACAGGAAGCCAGTTACTAGCAGGCATTGTCACCAAAAGTTTGGTTTTTTAGGATTCATAAGGAATAAAGAAGCTTGCACTCATCACCATGCCGGGGGCCCACTAAGAAAGCCTCCAAGTGTGTTGTCATGGAAATTTCCAAAGACAGGTTACAAAAAGAAGGTGGCTGCTATGTTTCTTCTATAAACCCAAGGGCTTTTGCTCCTCTCAGCCAGTAGTAGAATCTGATGCTTCATGCCCAGAGTGTGGAGAGCTTCTCAGTGGAGATCAATAGCACCAGTAATCAGTCAACAACCATGAGCCTAATGGTGTTGATGAGCTTTTGGCAACAGAGGTTAATAATGCTATACATGGACTCTGTGCTTAAGTCCTGGCTCCTTCACTCATTACCTTGGCAAGTTAGACTAGTCACTCGGTGTCTTAAGCGTCTCTTAAGTTTCTCATCTGTAAAGTGGGGATAATTTGTGAAGTTAAATGAAATTACCCATGTTAAGACTTCATAGAATTTGGCACATAGTAAGTGCTCAAGTAATATCAGCTGCTATTATTATAACTATTATTATCACTGTGATTGAAAGAGACTGTTTTTGTGATTTTACTTTGGAAAAGCCCAATAAAGTCAGAATAGCAACTGACCTCAAGATCAATAGGCAAAAGGTCCTATCATACATATGAGTCAGCTAGTCCTCCATTTACTTGAAAGACATCAAACATTTGTCACTTTCCAGGCACTGTGTAAGAGCTAAGGGATTGAGAAAATAAGATGAAGATACATGTTATTATGGATTTCCCAGATGGTTCAGTGGTAAAGAATCCACCTGTAATGCAGGAGACATGGGTAGACTTGGGTTCGATCCCTGGGTCGGGAAGATCCCCTAGAGAAGGGAATGGCTATTCACTCCAGTATTCTTGCCCGGAGAATCTCATGGACGGAGGAGCCTGGCGGGCTGCGGTCCATGGGGTCGCACAGTCAGACATGACTAAGCGACTGAGCACATATGCACATGTTATTGTAAGATCCGTCATGATCCCAATTACTCAAGCTTAGACTTAGTTTCAAAAAATAACTCAAGAAGGGTTTTCACGTAGATACTGCAAATGCTTCTGTTCATTCTATACTATATTAACAATTCTGCTTCTTGAAGTTCCTGTGGTGGCTTTCTTCTCTGATTTTTACCTTTCTTCCTCTCAATGACAATGATTGCTTCTGGCGTTGTTTTTGTTCATTACTAGAGGGACAACCTTGTAGGAACAGCCTTGTAGGAACTATGGCAAAACTCAGAGAAATTCACCACTCTTGGACTAGAAGAATTGGTGAGGCATTGAACTGCCTGGGCTCATCCTGAGGATTTTGAAACAAAGGTACCAATAGCCAGAACCTGGCTATATTCTTGGGCATCTTTGGGCCTTTTAACCTTCTGAAAGTTAAAAGCTGAGTATTGTTTAAATAGAAATAAACTCCGGCTTCTTTAAAAAAAAAATCACAACATTTAGACCCCATCCCCTTCCTAGAATAAAGCAACTACCTTTTCTCCAGAGAAAGTGACATTTGATCTTAAAGGTTAAGTGTCTGGCAGAATCCTTTGAACAGAGAAAACAGTATGCACCTAGGATGGAGGCTTAAAGGAAAGAACGTGGCACTGAGCAGGGGACAACTCCAAGTGCAAGAAGGCCATCCAGATTGGAAGAGGGGGTGGGGAAAGAGCAGGGTGAAAAGCACCCTGGGGCAGGTTTGAGTGACATTGTGATGGATCTTGGATTCTTTGTAAGAAGCTTGGTCTGAAAGGCATATTTTGGTTCACAAAGAAGACTCCTGGATGTTGTTGTTTTCTCCTTTGATGTCTTTAGACATCCCATATGCTGGGCCAACCTCACCTCTTAAATCCAACTGGGTCCTTAGTGTTTCTTCCCACATAAGCTTATAGTTAGCAGTGATTTCTCAAGGCTGCTCTTGGTGTTGAGTGTTCCACAACACGGTAGACTGTTCTGGTAGTATTTCAGAAGTGAAGATATATTAAAGTTCAACACCTAATATTTTCTGGGAGCAAGGTTGTTTTAAAAAGCTCATTAGAAAATTTTGATGTCATTTCAACTAATTAGCTATAATGACTTTCCATCCTGACCATTATGTGTCACCTTCTGGCAGATCACCAAACATACTTAAAAATTTGCTTAGTTTTTTATTTAATGGTGAGCATGAGATGCCTATGACTTATGAAAATGAGACAGAACAAACATAATACAAAGTCCCCATCCTCAGGGACTCCACTTTCTGAATAGGAGTGTGACTCAGCGTCCTTTCTTATGTGTTGGAGCAGGAGTGTCATTTCTATTTCAGGCTAAAGAGTCACATTTTCCATTCTTCCAGAAAACTGGATTTTTTTTTTTTTTAAATATGGGGGAGAGGCACAGTCCCTTGGTAGAATTTGGTAGGATGGGTGGATTCAATGGGACCAAAGAGAGTAGAGACAAAGTCTCTTTCCACCAGCTATGTGCACATCACTGCATCTTCCAATAGCTGGTATTCTTGGTAGACTGACAATGAATGTACACAGAAAAGGTAAGTTAATTATAGAGTGGGTAGAACTTGTAGGTGGAACCCAAGTAAAGAGAAAGGGATGCTTTGGGTTTGAGAGAGAGTCTGTCTGGAACAAAGCTGTGCAGGGGAGTAATAAATGAGAAAAAGGAGATTGGATCTGCTGGGGAAGACTTGACATTTTAGGTTTCTGGTTGGACTTTAGGCTATAAAACACTGGTTCTTTTATTAAAAAAAAATTTCATCAAGGTTACCTGGAGTGATTCTTAAAAATGCAGATTCTGAGGCCATACCTCAGATCCATTGAATCAGAGATCCAGGAATGGAACCCAAGAATCACTATTTTTCATGAGGTCCCAGAGGGACTGCAACTCTCTGCTATCCCAGAGATCATGGCAACATGACAGTCCTTGTGCCTTCCCTCTGTGGATGCAGAGGCTGAGCAAGGAAGCAGATTTAGGAGATTGTTATTACAGGCCCTCGATACCCAAAGTATGGGCCTTGAGTCAGCAGCCTGGGTATCACCATAGAGCTTATGAGAAATGCAGAAGTTCAGGTACTACCCCAGATTTCCTTAATCATAATCTGCATTTAAAACATGTATTTGTATATTTGGCTGCATTGGTCTTAGTTGGCACATGGTATCTTTAGTTGCAGCATGCAAACTTCTTAGTTATAGCATGTGGGATCTAGTTCTCTGAGCAGGGATTGAATCCAGGCCTCCTGCGTTGGGAGCTCAGAGTCTTAGCCACTGGACCACCAGGGAAGTCCCCATATTTTGCATTTTAAGAAGTTCCCCAAGGACTCATATGCATGCTAAAGTCTGAAAAGTGTTGATCTAGTGGTTAGGGAGATCTGGCAGAAAAGGTTAAGAAACCAGGGCAGGAAGGGGGAACAGATAGGAAACAGGAATTTCAAGTTCAGAATGAAACCAGCAAGTGGACCAATTGGAAGCTGAATGAAGAATCCCTGATTTGGGGTTGTTGATATCTCTGATAAGGCTAGGAACTGTCCCAGA